TTCAGTATGTCATTGTCTGTTTGCATAGCTCGCTGCCTGACCCACCAGTCTGCACTCAGGATGGGGAAAATAAAAGCAAATATTATTGCCACTCCAAGAGCCACTGACTGAGGCTGAGAGAAGTGGAGGGATCAGGTGGTGGAAATGAGTTCACATTGGCCATGTTGCATGCTTCATTTCTCCTCCGTTCGGACCATAGCCTCTGTGACAAAGCGTTTTCCCAGCTGCAGATGTATGGCTGGGCCATATAAAGCTCAGACTAGAGGGTGAGGGGTGGCACATGTATTAGCATCTGTGAGTGGGGACATCGGATTTTACAGTTCCCAGGCCCAACTCTTGAGCACCAAGTATTTGCAGGGAACCTGTAGTTTGCTTATTTATCTAGCTCTTCCTGTGACTTCCAAGGAACGGTTTCCTTGTCCTTATGCTAATTCAAGCCCTGCTGAACAGAGGCTTTTTTCCTCCATCCCATCCTGCGAGAGGTCATCTTTATTCAAGAGCCGTGAATGATGTGCACAGGGTACTAATCGTGCACAAAGAGCCCCATCCAGAGCCAGCCAAGCGTACAGCTGTCCTTTTGTTTACAGAGATGGAGAGGGGACCTGAAAAGTGCTCCTACCCCAGGGACAATAGCAGTGGATCCCGAGACGCCTGAGATTTGGCAGGGCCCCTCTTTCCTGGCGCTAAAGGGCCTTTATTAAACATAAATCACGTCAGCTGCTACCACGGCCCTTTCTCAGCTTATAAAAGATTCCCCTTTGCTGCCTAAGTGACACAACGGAAAGGAATCAGTCTAAAATACCCGAAGACTGGAGAGATGGACCAGGTTGGGGACAAATGACACTTCTGACTGTTTAATAGCAGCACTCTTCTGTCACTGTTGCAGCTGGGTTAATTTTTTAAGCTGGCTGGTGATTCAATGTGTTTTATTGATTTTGTGTTGGCTTGAAATGTCAGGAGGTCATGAGGATGAATTTTATACCTGTGGGTTATGAAGAATAACACGGAGTCCTGCAAGCCCTAGGATAAATATGTTGCCAGTGCTGATATCACTGGAAAAGTGTGATGCCTCAGGTACCAAGAAAATAACTAAGTGTGTAGCATCTCTGCAAAGAGTGGAGTACTTCTGTTAAGGGAATAATTATTAGACTTTCCTATTCAGCAATGTAAGACCTGACTACAGCATTTCCCCGAGGTGGGGAGCAAACACTCTTTCTTCTTCCCCTTGTAAATAAACAGGCAGTCTGAGTATAAGGAACAAAACTGCTCATGGAAAATGTGTTGCTTAGAGTACTGCTATCGGCAAATCCCGTACCTCATTAGGCAGCCGGTGTTTCTGTGCAGGGAGAGGGCCTGAGGTGTCACAGGGAGCATGAGACATGGCAGCCATGGGAGCTTCAGGCAAGATGAGGAGATGTTAGGAGAAGTTTGACATCCCTCTGGCATTTCAGGCAACTGGATGCTGGTTGTGACTGAAGCTAACTAGGGAACAATTTAAAGATCTCACCCTTAGGACTCCCTTCAGGCTATATAACTGGCTGGGCTCATCTTCTGCTTCTTGTATAGATAGGTACCAACTAAATCTGATCAGTTACCAGCTGTGCACTCTGTTTATTAATATTTGTATCTACCTGTTGTTTAAAATTGCACTTTAATAGCAGCGATGGCTGATTCAGACCATGCCTTGCCCATCCCTCCTCAACCCCTGCATGTGTTAACCGTTGTTTCCCTTGAGTTGATGTCCCTGGCTGCCCAGTGGTCTTGCTTGCTGGCAGACAGTCGTCACAAGGAACAGATGCCACAGGCATCCCTGCCCGTCTCTGTGATCTCTCTGGTTTGGTGTCTTGTGAACTCTGGCAGGCCAGGCACACCAGGGCTGCGCAGCCATGAGCTCAGTCCATGCATTTGCCTTACATGCCAGAGTAAGTCATTCAGTAGGAGGCATTAATTCCCTAACTCACCGTCGGTGCAATGCGTCATGACATTTCTGATCGTGGAGGCTGGGGAAGCATACTAGTGGCTTTCATAGGTGAGGTCCTGCTGTCACTGGGTAACAAGCAGAGCTCATTTTTGTGTAACTAGCAGAGCTCCTTTTTCGTGTTTCCAACATATTCTGCAGCTTTTGACAAGGATCCCCACCGATCTCCCAAGGATTCATAAATAACTGAGCCTACAGCTCTATGCGTCATGGCACAGCTCCTCTCTGCAAAACAAGTTGTTGCTCCAAACCGCCTCTGATCACCAAGTCTAAGGTCCCTCTGCAGTTTCAGTTACGCGGGTGCAAGCTGCTCTGAGCTTTCCACGCAGGACTCCCAGCTTCAGCTCCCAGTGCTGATAAACAAGCAGGTTTCACTCTTTTGCTTTTACTGTCTGCAGAAAGCTATGCCAACTGTTTGGATTTTCCAGGTGATTTATGTTGTGTCACCACATTCCATTAAAACGGGTTTTAAAGTAATTTTTGAGTATATTTGGTTTTTCCCTTTAAGGCTTTATCTAATTTGTAATCTGACTGAGAGCCATCAGGCTGGCTTTAGGTATGATTTGGTCCTGCTGTATTCTGGCACAAATTCTTCAAGTCAGTGAAGAGTTGCTCGTTAGCCTTAGCAGTGACTTTGGCCCTGAATCTGCAACAATTTATTCCCATTTAGAAAAGAAAGCAGTGCTGTCTATGTATCCCTGGGACAGCCACAGGGTAGGTATGAAGTCAAGTGGCTTGGTTTGCCTTACCCAGTGGCTGGAGCTCTTTGCATTTGATATTTGCCATGTGAAGATCTTCGTGATGCAGCACCCACGTGAAGGTTATTCAGAAAGACACTTTTTTTCTAATGTTAGTAATCGTCTGGAAAAAAGGCTAACGGAGTGTTAGTAACACAGACCAGTCATCACAGTGCTATCTCCACAAAACTCATCTAGATGAGATGCTCATCTTTTTTACAGGTGTCATTAAACTTCAGTTTTCTCTTAAAGAATATAGCTCATAATTGACATAAATAACTCAAGACATTGAGGTATATATAAATTCATATCTTAATGAATATCTCATATGCAAAACATGTAAAGCTGAAATATCAAAGCTTAGTTTAACCAAGTAAAGCTTAGTGTATCAATGCTTAGTGGAGCTGACACCAATGAAAGGCAGAGACAAAATGAGGTATTAGTTGCTTTGGATCTTCAGATTTATTATTTCTGATTTGCTACAGACCAGAATAAAATGCACAACAGCATAGGTGAATCATTCTACGTACTCTCTTTACACTGAGAAGCTTTAAGCAGCTTTAAATGTATTTTTTTCTTTAAAATAGTTTTTCAGCTGCTAAGATGCACTGACATGAGTTTCAAATATATTTCACTCGCTCATTAAACAGAAGAAGAAGGACAACAAATGTCAAAGTGAAAATGTGCAGAGGATGGGGGGATGATTCAGCCTTACTGATAGCTATTTGCCATGGCAATTTGCTTTATAAGTTGCAGATGTAACTTTTAGCAAAGCAGGATCATTTTGGGCTGTTTCTCCTCTGTGCCTTAGTGTCTCCATCAGTTGAAAAACTTTGCTAGGGCTGAATATGCAACTTGTGGTTAGTCATACAAACGAAAAGGCGGATTCTCACAGTTTCTGTGCACCAAATTCAGCCTGAGTGTGGCCACTCATTCCCCCCACCCCATGATCTTCTGCATTCAGCACTCTCCCTGGAAATGTTTGAGCTGTTGGAAGGATGGGGGACTTGGCAGATCTTCACGGTTCAGGTCCCATCTGAGAGTACAGACGTCTGCATGTGTCAAATCTTTTTCCTTCATACCCATGCAGGACCACTGAACTCTTTTCACATGAGTCACAGCCTCGGGAGCTGCCCTGGAGCACTGACACTTTGCCGGCGTGTTTGGCTCTGTGCTCCCCAACCAAGCTCTTAGGAATTTAGTGCTGTGTCTAATTTCCAAGGGTATCCACAGCTTTCTGCATGTGAAAGTATGAGGCATGCTCTTAGAGACTGCTTGAGCTAGTAGAGCACGGGTGCTTCTTGAAACCACGTGGGTCGTGGGTGAATTCGGTTCACTGCCTGCTTTCTGGGGAAGGATTGCCACTGGCTACATGTGCACTGAAATAGCTGAGATACAGCTATCCAGTTGTTGATTAATAAAAGCTTAATATTGCAAGAAAGTGATCACAGATAAGTACTATGTCCCTGCTGAACAAGTGTGTGTCCATGGGAAGGCAGGATTTCTGACAGTGCCCTAGAAGGTGCTAGGGAACAGTAAAGGATTCACTACCTATTATTTTAAGTTCTTATTGTACCCTAGGACGTAGGTTCAGATCTATGAAATTTGTGCCACCAGTCCTTCATACCAGTAAAAAGGAGATCTGATTCTGGTCTGCTACCTGAGCACATCCCCATCTCTAGATAAGGGATATAAAGTCACTACCCAAAGCTGCGCATTGATCTGTCCTTAGGTAAAATTCCTGCACTGAGTTGTGCTCTCTGCTGTAATGTTCCTGATAACTGTATCCTTTCTATACCCATGCAGAGCTTTGGCTCCATAAAAGCTGAATTCTGGGCCCAAAATTACCTAGACTTGAAGGGAAATGTGCTCCTAATGATTTTTTTCCCACTGAACGGATAGGAAGCTCTATTAAACCATTTTCCCAGCCCAAGTAGCACACGCTTGATTGGCACTTCTGCAAAAAAAAAAAAGGGATCTGAATGTGAAATCCTCATTTCTTTAGCAGCATCATTCACACGTAGGAGCTGCCATATGGCTGTGCTGTCCTGGGCCAGCCCATTGCAGGGAGTGGGGAAAGTGGCACGCGATGCACTGGAGGCCACGGGCTCGCCCACGGTGCATGGGCCAAAGGAGGCAAATCCCACCTCCTCCCCGCTTCAGGACACGCTATCAGCAAATGGCTCCCGCCTCTGCACGTCAACCCTGCCCCTGGGCTACAAGCAAGAGGGAGTTTGTCAGTTCTCAGTGAGGTCTGGAGGGAGAGCTGCTGCACTGCATCGACGATGCCGATGGGCTTGGCGGAGGTAGGATGTCAGAGCCTGGATTAGGAGCAGAGCAGCTGGAAGGGGATGGGCAGGGGCCAGGGGTTCGGTGAAGTGGGGTAGAATTTAACAGCTGCAGAAACGGCAAGGAGCTGGTTTCCCTCTTGTCAGAGCCCAGGGAGCTTGTTGTGCCTCCTGAAACGCTGGGGCGTGCGAGCTGAGCGCAGTGCTGGCACTGCAGAGGGAAGCAGGGTTGTCTTCTGGAGGCAGCTGAAGAAGCAGGCAGGGGTTTTAGGCTGGTGACTGGGAGTTTTCAGGCTGCTGCAGGGAAATCTGCAGTATCCAGTGTCTTGTTCCCTGCCTAACAGATGAAGGTCATCAGCATGAATTCAGACACTGCCGTTTACATTTTGGTCGATTACAGAAACTAGATCCTTTTTTACCAGTCCCCACTGTCTGCACGTGGAGATACCTACTTCAGTCACAGTAAAAGTGCTGCTGCCTTCTTTAGCCTTGCCTCAGCCTTCCCTGCTGCCCTCGCCTGTGATGTTTGCTATTTTTATCCTCCGTAAAGACAGTGCAATCAACTCCCTCTGTTACCAAAAGAGCTCTGATGGATAATTTAATAGCAAACACTTAGATGGTTATTGGTGCAGGGAGGTTTTTTTACTGACAGAGAGAAGCTGAACAGGCAAAGGTTGCGCTGTACTTCTGAAATCTCCTGAAAATAGCAATATGGAAAACCCACAGGGGGAAAAACTCTCCAGAAGCATCAAATGCCAAAAGAGCCCTGTGGATCAGGGGGGAAAGAGAGGCTCCTTAGAAAGGGGGCTATTCACCCCTTATGCCCCAGCCTTGTGTCACCCTGCAAAATGGGCTGGCTTCTGGTGTTGTCAAACAAAACACAAAGCAGCTATTCAGATTGTCAATGAGTCAAAAAAATGAGGCCGTGCTTTTGGCTGCCTTTAATTACACCAACTACTGTTGGGCCAAAAAAGGAGTAAACAGGTCTACTTTCTCCACTGGAGGAAAGACACAATTTCTTTGAAGAAGCTCTCCCGATATTAGAGGTCATCTGTTTTGCTTTTTCTTCAACACAGGATCTACTTCTCCCTGTGTTGCTGGAGGAAGGGTGCTCATGATGTCCTGCAGATTATAGTAAATGCATTCTCTTTGATTCTCTTTGGACCCATATGGCTAGCAGCATGAAGCATCCTATAACAGTTTGTTTCCTGGATATATCAATAAAAAAAAATACCTTGGCAAAAACAATTATGACACGACAAACACTGACCATGTCCTGTCTGAACAGCTGTGTTGAAATAATTATGCCCAGAGGTGGGTTAGAATCCTCCCTCAGTCCAAAACCCTTCTGGCTTTGAGATTTTGTCATACCACTATGATAAAGGAAAAGTCTTTCTTTTATTTTGAGACATTTCAATAAGATCCTCAGCTCATGTGACGTCCACCTACATCAGCTAACAGTGTGGCTTGTCAGTGGGAAATCCTATTTAAACCTAGGATGGATCATCGCCCTGGAAAAAGGGAAATGTAACCCCATTTTTAAAAAGGGAGAAAAGGAAGACCTGGGGAACTACAGGCCAGTCAGTCCCACCTCTGTGCCCAGCAAGATCATGGAGTGGATCCTCCTGGAAACTATGCTAGAGCACATGGGAAATAAGGAGGTGACTAGTGACAGCCAACATGGCTTCACTAAGGGCAAATTGTGCCTGATGAATTTCGTGGCCTTCTGTGATGGGGTTACAGCACTGGTGGATAAGGGACGAGCAATTGACATCATCTACCCGGACTTGTGCAAAGAATTTGACACTGTCCCGCACAACATCCTTGTCTCTAAATTGGAGAGACATGGATTTGATGATGGGCCATTCAGTGGATAAGGAATTGACTGGATGGTTGCACTCAAAGAATTGTAGTCAACAGCTCAATGTCCAAGTGGAGAGCAGTGACAAGTGGTGTTCCTCAGGGGTTGGTGTTGGGACTGGCACTGGTTAACATCCTTGTCGGCAACATGGACAGGGGGATTGAGGGCACCCCCAGCAAGTTGGCCAACGACACCAAGCTGTGCGGTGTGGTGACACGCTGGGGGGCAGGGATGCCATCCAGGGGGACCTGGACAGGCTGGAGAGGTGGACCCGGGCAAACTTCATGAATTTCAACAAGACCAAGTGCAAGGTCCTTCACATGGGTTGGGGCAATCCCCAGCACAAATCCAGGCTGGGCGAGGAGTTGAATGAGAGCAGCCCTGAGGAGAAGGACGTGGCGGTGCTGGTGGATGGAAAACTGACTATGAGCCATCAATGTGCACTCACAGCCCAGAAAGCCAAACGTGTCCTGGGCTGCATCAAGAGGAGTGTGGCCAGCAGGTTGAGGGAGGGGATTCTCCCCCTCTGCTCCGCTCTCGTGAGGCCCCACCTGCAGTGCTGGGTCCAGCTCTGGGGTCCCCAACATAAGAAGGACACGGAGCTGCTCGAGTGGGTCCAAAGGAGGCCACAAAGATGATCAGAGGGCTGGTGCACTTCCCTTATGAGGACAGGCTGAGACATTTGGGGGTTGTTTGGCATAGAGAAGAGAAAGCTCTGGGCAGACCTTATAGCGGCCTTCCAGAGGAAAGCTGGAGAGGGACTTTTTACAAGGGCATATAGTGATAGGACAAGGGGTAATCTCTTTAAACTGAAGGAGGGTAGATTTAATTTAAATGTAAGGAAAAAATTCTTCCCTGTGCAGGGGGTGAGGCACTGACCCAGGGTGCCCAGAGCAGCTGTGGCTGCCCCCTCCCTGGAAGGGTTCAAGGCCAGGTTGGACGGGGCTGGGAGCCCCCTGGGCTGGGGGAAGGGGGCCCTGCCCGGGGCAGGGGGGGTTGGAACTAGATGATCTTTATGGTCCCTTCCAGCCCAAAGCATTCTATGATCAAAGCAGCATGAAGAGAAGACCCATATTGGACCTCTCTGTCCATCTTCCTGATACACTGGGCATAGTTTCTTGTCCCTGGTCCTTTGTAGGGGGTCAGCACGAGGGAGACACCAGGGATTTCCCTCAGCATTGATGGGTGCCAGTCTTAGGGCCATGGGAAATTTGTTCCCTTTCTCTTGGGTGTGCTGAGAAGCAGAGACTGGTGGGACATAAGCATTAATGCTGAGCTGGAGCATTCACATTCTACCCCCGTTTATCACTTTAATCTTACATTAATATACCCCAGCCTTGAGGCATACAGTATCCGGCCTTTGCTCATATTTTGCTAGAGCCCAGCAACAGGACTTCTATTTTGTCTGGTGGGCCTCATTTCAAAGATGCCTGGTCCCCGGAGAAGCAGCTGACATTCTCTCTTTCTTCATTTCATCCTGCCAGCTGTCTTCTCATTTCTGTCTTTTAGACCTGTTTTTGTTCCTGGGCAGAAATACTTATGCAGGTCAGCACTGAACTTTCATTCAGCAGCAAGCTAAATAATTTTTCAATGGCATGTTAGCCTATTTTAATCCCTGCATAAATTCATTCTCCTATAACCTGGATACATTTAATTTAATGTCAACAGTGAATCACATCAAGAAAATAAATGACAGAAGAGTTAAAAAATAAAATCCCAAACCTTTTCTTTCAGCTTTCTCAGAGAGACATTGTGAAGCATATGGAGGATGCAGAAATATACCATCACCTTGGTGACTTTTTCAGGCCAGCAGAGATGTTCCTCAGTACCTGCTATTTTAGTTCCTAACTAAGTCTCGGCTGTCACTATAAAGATAAATTTTCTACCTTTTTCTGGGAGCTGCTGATGTGGGGAATAAGAAGCAGGGTTGCAGAATCAAACCTTGTGTCTCCCAAACCAACAGGGAATGCTGCGATGATTCTCATAGTCTGGCAGTTCACCAACACCAACAGGATTTCCCCAGTATGAATGTCAACCAAAAAAGCCTTCTTCCTGGCTAAAAACACCCCTCCCAGGGACATCTTCATCTCTGCTTCCCCAAGGTCCCAGTTACAACCATGTGAGAAACCCTCCTCTCTTTTCCCTTCGCTCGCAGCCGTGTCTTTGCAGTGTGGGTGGAATTGCTGTTTTGTAGGTAGCAGTGCCCCGGGGCTTCATTTTGTGAATTGCACTACAGCAGCCACCTCTTCTTATCTGCCAATCAAGGTATTCTCCGACTAGTCACTTTATAATCTACCATATAATGCTTTATAATCTACTGTGGGGTAGACTTTTGCCAAAATATTGCTTGGTTTATATGATATAAAAACATACTAAACTCACTTAATCTAGAATGCATGCAGTTTCCAAAACTTCCTGTCCTCTCTGTGTCCTCTGTTTACGAAAATTGCAGCTCTTCCTCCTGCAGATTGCTCTTGCAAGCTTCCTCTTCCAGCTAACAGGACTTTATTTCATTCTTCTACCTTTTCCTTCTTTGACTGAAAGTTGCTACCAGCTTCTCCTGAAGGCAAGAGCAAAGCTGTGATGGACTTCAGCAGGTGAAAGGCTGGTTTTTCAGCTAGCACGTTCATCCACCAGAAATGAGAAGAACAGCATCACCTCCGTGGGATGTGAGAGCATATTTGAAATACATTATCCACCATAAAAACGAGGCCGTCCAGCAGCACAGCTGCAGCCAGAGCACTCACTCAGCGACAGATCGAGTTACCAGAATTCAGACTTTTGGGTTACCAGACTTAGCCTGAGCGTGGCTAAATTGTCAAGAAGACTTTAAACATTAGCCCTGGAAACACTGAGGAAAGTATCATATTTTGAAAATAATGTTGTTATGCCAAATAAGCTTGCTTGGCGCCAGCAAGTGAGAGAGCCACATGGGAGGGTTTGGTTGCTGCAAATATAATGTCATCGGGGTGCATTTTTATGTCCTGACTAGTTGGGAAAATTTTGCAAGAGTGCTGATAGCAGCATTTTGTTGGACACAGCTCCTGCAGAGCTGCTCCTGGGGTGCCTCCCCCACTTCTGTGCAGGACTGTAACTCCCTGAGCACCATGGCTGAGGGTTCGACCCAATGCACCTTATTAGCACTGGGACGAACAAT